CTAGGTTACCAAACTGGTTCAAAGCGTATTCAGCTAAGGTGTTTGGTGGTTTACCCCATCCTTTGCAATCCAGGACTCCACCACAATCACCAGTCTGGCACCAACCTCTTCCAGCACCATCAAAGTTGCAATTAGTACGACCCCAAATACGTGCCATTTTAGTGCCAGGTGGGGCCCAAAACCACCAACTCTGACCTCTCTCGAGACGTCGACCACCTCCTACGGGGACCGCTGCCGCCCAAACGGTGTAGGGGCAGTTGTTATGGACCTCAAATACACCGGAACCATAAGTGTAAGTCACAAAGGCAAGGAGAAAAAACACTAAACAAGTTGTCAAGTGACTCATTTTAGTATAAGAAGTTGTAGGATATATTTGCATATCGAGCTAGGGGTTTATATAGTGGTATGGCGGCTTTTTTTCACTATGGACATTAATCATATAAATATTGGCACTTGTTATAAACATATATAGAAAATTAAAAAAAAAAATTGTATCCAAAATATCTCCACTTGAAAAAAAAAGCCGCCAATATAATATGAGTACAGCCTATTATAAGTAATATATTTTGTTCACTCCAGTCATATTTCACAGTTCAACTTTTTGCTATTTTGAAAATTTATGCATTAACACATTATGATATTTATAATGATTAAAAAAAAAAGAGAAGATATTTTTTAATTAAGTGATATATACGTATTATTAGTTTTGTGTTTAACTATATATTAATTTTAAATTATTTAGTTTAGTATATACAACAAATCGGAAAAATGCATGGCAGGGCATGAAACCTAAAATTGTGGAAAATTTCCTAATTTTTTTTGAACATTTTTTCATGAGAAATTTAGTTAGTAGAGAATTCTCTTCATAATTTTTATTGGTTATGTTTTCATAAATAAAATAACTTAAAAATTTTGAATTACAAATTTGTAATTTTTGTTTACAGACAATTGCCTTTTTTCCCTTGATTATTTTTTTCCGTCGTATATATATAGTGGATTTTTATATTAAATTATTTATAGCATATTTATCAAGTGGACATAATAATTAATTGAAAATGTGCATGCATTCTACAGTCAAAAAAGTTGAGCAAATGGGTAGGCGTAGAGATGAGTGGAACCTTAAAAGTTTGAATTTTTTTTTTATTCGATACAAGCTATGTAGGTCTTGTTTCACACGAGAAAAATGAATTTTGAAATTAGTTATGAATTTCGTTACTAATCTATCTCTAATATGCAAAGTTTTGAATAATCTATCCCTAATTGGTTACTAGATATAGAACTAGCAATGATTTTTGTTATTGATTGAATAATTTGTTCGATATTGATTTTTGTTTTATGTTTCCTCCGTCCGATATTGTTTGTTATGGTTTCTATTTATAGACTCAAACTATAAAAACTTTGACTAACATTTGAAGATACATTTTTTTATCATATTAATATGAAAAGATTGTAATTTATAGTACTTTTCATATTGTTTTAGAATATTTAATTTTTTTGGTTTAAAGTATCGAATTAATGTGATTTAATTTACCTTTAGAAATCAATCAAAATTGACTTTCGATAAGCGTAACATGACAAATATTTCTGGACGGAGGGAGTATTGATTTTTTATCGTTGTCATCATGGTCGTCTTTGTTTGTTGGTTCATAATAAGATATTCTTGAGTTTAAATGAGATGATTGTATATTTGAGTTTAATTTTGGAACATGCAAGAGTTTTTGGATTTGATTTTGATCGGTAGATGTACTAGTACCTGCCACCAAAACATCGTGAAGGATTCAGTGAACGACTTGAAACTTAGTAACACAAGACAATTCACTGAATGGTTGTTGGCTCTACCGGAGGAGTCTGAAATCAACAACGTGTAACTGCTTGGGCAGAATAAAAGAACTTAAATTGTTTTAATAGAATTTTTTAAGTAACATTGCAATTATTTAAGCAATACGAACGCCCAATTGTATTTTATTTTATTTTTTTATAATAAAAGAGTTTTGGAAGTAATGAATTTTAATACAATATCAATATTTAAATAATGTTGAATTCTTAGCTTAGGCATTGAATCGCAATTGAAAGTGAAAGCCCTTTTTTGCTATTTCAAGTTATGAATTCAGATACTAAAGGATAACGTCTTTTAGAAGGAAGATATTAATGGGGTAAGTGATTTTTAAAAGTTGACTTTTATATAAAATTATCTTCTTCTTTTTTCTTTTTCTTTTTTGTATATCGACTCATTTAATTATCAGTTTAACTTAATGTTCGAATCTTTAAGCTTTTTAATTAATATTGAATTTATTATTTCTTTAAACTTATAAATTCAAATCTAAACACTTATTAAAATTTTAATGAATTTTCATATACTATAGTATACTTGAAAATGTTCCAAAAGCCGCCAATAAAAAAATATTTCCATCTGTTTGACTTATATTATGACATGTAACGAGTTGTCCCTACAATTTTATATTTTCAGATCTAGGTACTTTAATATATTAACTAGACTAATTTTTTTTCATTATAATTAAAAATTTTAAGAAAAAAACTGTACTCCAGATATAATTTCAATTTAAAATTAAAATACCATATATAAGACAAAGCATCGATCATAGATTGTTATTCAGATCTTAGCCACTTCAAACAAACAAATGTAAAAGAAATGTGTACAAGGCAAATTAAAGACAATGTCCATCTTCAAAACAAATTTAACAAAAAAGAGATTGGCTCAACTCAAGATTTCTACTTAATTAAGCCACTTCAAGAGTATTTGTAGGAATCTCCAATGGGAAATTTGTTGTTTCATTGTGAGTAGAGCCATAAGGACAAAACATAACCTTGTAGTCTGTAGTCCAACTCTGACAAGTAAAAGTACTTGTTGGATCGTCTTGAGGATAACTATAGGCATCGGGACATCTTTGTTTGAAAAATCTTGACAAATCGGTAGGACCACATGGACCTTGAGTGCAACAATATTGTTGTCCTCCGAATGTAGTACAAGGGTTGTTACATCCTCCGGGTACCCTAAGTGAACCAGGGCATTCACCGTTTATATTAGCAACACATTGAATTGGATGACATTTTCCCGGCCCAGGGTTAGTTGGGCCGAAAGACATAGGGATGTTGAATCCATCAATAACAGAAATGTCCCAGAAATCTAAGTTGCTAAATTGATTCAAAGCGTATTCAGCTAAGGTGTTTGGTGGTTTACCCCATCCTTTGCATTCCAAGACTCCACCACAATCACCGGTCTGGCACCAACCTCTACCAGCACCATCAAAATTGCAATTAGTACGACCCCAAATACGTGCCATTTTGGTGCCCGGTGGAGCCCAAAACCACCAACTTTGACCTCTCTCGAGACGTCGGCCACCTCCTACGGGAGTCGCCGCTGCCCATACGGTGTATGGACAGTTGTTATGGACCTCAAATACACCGGAAGCATAAGTGTAAGTCACAAAGGCAAGGAGAAAGAACACTAAACAAGTTGTCAAATGACTCATTTTAGAATAAAAGAAGAATATTTGGTTTGTTGATATATTTACACAATAAATTAGGGGTTTATATAGGGGTATGGCGGCTTTTTACACTATGGACAATATTATAAATATATATATATATATATGTATATATAGACACTTGATATATTAATAAAACCATAATTTATATTTTTTTATAAAGATATAGCTAGATAGGCGGCTATAAGCATATACAATTATTATGTACAATGAACATATACAAAACCTAATAATTTTGCTTGGTCATAATATGTCCACTTGAGATAATAATCTGCACATAATATCCATTTTAAAAAAATAAGAAATGTATGATATATCACTAAAAGGGAGTGATATTAATAAATCATAAAAAAAAATTTACGATCATCACTTTTTTTACCAAATCTATTAAACGGTGAAATCGAAATTTATTTTTGAAACAAACGGTAAATCTTATAAAGAAAAAATGTTAAATCACTTTCTTAATATTCGTTTGTTAAACAAGCATTAAATGATAGTCTAAATATTTCTTGGATCACCTCATCAACCATCAAGGCCCAAAGGGTATATATCAAATATCTCTTAAAAAGGGAATTTGTTTAAACAGAAAAGAAACAATACTTTAAAAAGATATTTTTTACTCAAAAGTAGTAATAGGATATTTTTTGACTAAAATATTCATGGTAGGGATATGTTTGGACAAGAATATTAATAGGATGGCATTTTTGAAGAAGACATTTGTTGAATTTCACGTAGTTCAAAGATACTTTTTTTTAAATCTATTTTATTAAAATAAAAGCTAAAAATGTCAAAACATATTTGAACAATCTTTTTTTTTTAATATCATATTTAAATTATTGAAAATGTATAAAACATGTTCCTAAGTACTCCGATTCCTTATAAAAGATATTCAGTTCGTTAGAATAGAAGTGAAAGAGGATATTTATGTTTGTCGTGTTCTTTATATGGACATCCGAGGCCAGGGGTCCATTCTCTTGACCTGTACTGATGAGAATTTGACTGCACGAGAAATTGAACAAAAAGCTGCTGAATTAGCCTTTTTTCAGTCACAAAAACGAATAATTGAAACCTAAAATCTTAAAATGAAGAAGATTCTATTGATTCATTTCTACAATATTACCACTCATTAATTTGAAGAAAAAAAAACACAATTCAATTCTAACCAGACCAAATGCACACTCCGACGCATTTGATCCAAAAAAAAAAATAATCCACGTGGCTTTTTTTTCGCCAACGCAATCTAACATAATCAAATGTGTGTATACACGTAATACACACGACATCACATATTACTTGAAGTATATTTCTCAAACTTATTATTATTAGTTTAAATATGTTTTTCATACTCGAAATAATTTAGGTGCGTAAAATGTGATTTTCTTTTTTGCCTTTTTTGGTCTAAAATGTGATTTTCGCCTAAACCGTCCGGTTCACTTTACACTCACCGGTCTAACCCCACTTTAAACCGGTCTTTTGTTCACATATAAATACACATCAGCTCAACATATTCTTCATCGAAACAAAAAAAAAAAAAAAGAAAACGATCTCTGTCCGAAAATTCGTGCGAGAATCTGTTTTTTTTTCCTGGGAATCTGCTAAGAGTTTGATTGAAAATGGTACGAGGAAAACTTGTAGTTCAACTTGTTGGAGCTAAAGGCCTTGAAAACACTGATTTTCTCAGTAAGTTTTTTGTTTTTTTTTCTAATTTATTTGTTTTGATCTGATCAGATTAATGTATAGATCTCTTTTTTCTTTCGATTACATTTGATGTTTTCTTAATCAACCTAATTTTCGATTGTTACTTATGTGAATTAGAGGTTGATCTACATGTAATTTATGTGTTCACACAACACCTGTTTGAATGTGCGTTTTATTTAGGAAAATAGAGAATTATTTGAAGATCGGATCAAATTTTCATGATCAAACAGATATTTGTCAAAATTCATGGCCAAACCTTATCAATGTATATTAATTTGACTTCGTGGTAAACTTTAAATTTTGAATCAAAGTATGTGAAGTTGACATTTAGGTCTATGCCTAGTCAAACGATGTCAAATAAAATAGAATCGAGGAATATGAATCAAAAATCGATAATCATCTTGGCTAATTTGATTGATACTCTGTATTTTATTTTATTTTTTAATTTAAAAAATGTTATTTTGTGTGATACAGATGATATGGATCCATATGTGATCTTAACTTATAGATCTCAGGAGAAAAAGAGTACTGTTGCATCAGGTACATTTGTTAATAATCTTTGGTTAATTATTACTTAGTTATTAGTTACCTATGTTTTTTTTAAGAAAAATGAAATGAAGTTTGATCAATCGATATTTATAATGTTAAATTTTCATAGGGAAGGGATGTGAACCAGAATGGAATGAAACATTTGTTTTCTCCATTTCTGAGGATGCTGAAGAACTCTTCTTGAAGATAATGGACAGTGATTCTATCGGCGAGGACGATATTGTTGGGGAAGCTAAGTAAGTATATCTAATTAGAGGCGAATCTAAGATTATACGTATTTTCTCTATATTAACATAGTTTGAGTTTGATAGTACATGCATCCATGACTTGTATATGTTGAGATAAATAGACGTATATGACTTTAGATAAGAAGACGTGGAGGTCGAAAATTAGGGTAGAAGGTTAGTAGTTAGTGAGCCTGAGTGTTGTTGCACTTGTTATTGGAGAGGAAGAGGGCTAGCCTAGTCTCTACTTCTCCTTTTTAGTAGTAGTATTTTGTATATCGCGTAGTTTCCTTTCTTTAATGATTATTACAATCAGTTGCTTCATTTGATTTGTATCTTGCTATTTTGTCGTTTTATTTACTTGCACCATGCTTTTTCTTTTCTTTTCTTTTGAGTTCAGGGTCCTTCGTGAACAACCTGCAAAGGTAGGGGTATGTTCAGCGTACATCGATATCCTACCTTCCCAATATCCAACTTGTGAAATTACACTGAATATATAGTTATTTTTGTGGTTGTTGTAGTATACATCTACTTTCTAGTGGTGTTATACAAACCATGGTTTAAACGGTTGAGATTATTAGTTCATGGAGTCGAATAAGCATTTGCCTAAAACAGTTGAGATTATTAGTTCATGGAGTCGAATAAGCATTTCCCTAAAACAGTTGAGATTATTAGTTCATGGAGTCGAATAAGCATTTGCCTAAAACAGTTGAGATTATTAGTTCATGGAGTCGAATAAGCATTTGCCTAAAACAGTTGAGATTATTAGTTCATGGAGTCGAATAAGCATTTGCCTAAAACAGTTGAGATTATTAGTTCATGGAGTCGAATAAGCATTTGCCTAAAACAGTTGAGATTATTAGTTCATGGAGTCGAATAAGCATTTGCCTAAAACAGTTGAGATTATTAGTTCATGGAGTCGAATAAGCATTTGCCTAAAACAGTTGAGATTATTAGTTCATGGAGTCGAATAAGCATTTGCCTAAAACAGTTGAGATTATTAGTTCATGGAGTCGAATAAGCATTTACCTATCAGAGACGAATCTAAGATTTATACAATTTCTGTATATACAATTTCTGTATATATATATATATATATATATGCAAACATAATCTGAGTTTGCTAGTATTGGTTTTGAGATATGTTCAATAATATGTTACTTGCAGGATACCAATTGAACCAGTTTTTTCAGAAGGGAGCATCCCAATAACATGTTATAATGTTGTTAAAGATGAGGAATATTGTGGAGAAATTAAAGTTGGTCTCACCTTTACTCCTGAGGCAAGTTACTTTCTAAAATTTTATTGATTTATAAAAAAAAAAAAAAAAAAGGTTATGCCTCAATCCCGAGCTAACAAGTTCAGATTGGCTATATGAATAAAGGAACTCGTAACATGCAAGTATAATAGGTATTCTATGTGCATGATATATTTTGCTATGTTTTTGTAGGAATATTCTGAGAGGGAGTATGAAGAAGAGAACCTTGGTGGATGGAAAGAGTCTTCTTATTGATGTGAAGCATTACTCGACTGATCAATTTGTTCTTGCTTAAATTATGAACTTATCTTACCCGTTATAACATTTTCAAGTGTTAAAAGTGTGGATTTCATATAGTAAAAAAGAAAAGAGCTATTTTGAGTCTATACGGGTTACTGTAATAAAAATGTTGGGATTTTCTTTTCATTTTTCAAGTTAAATTATTTTATCATATGCTACAATGTAAGGTTTGTTATTATGCAGAACAACAATGTCAAGTTATGAGATAATCAAGTCAAATATCTAGAAATTATTGTGAAGAAATCACTCTAACTTTGTCCTTAACGCTCTTTATTTCTTCTCATTTTCAAAACATATGATGTGAAGAAATCACTCTAACTTTGTCCTTAACGCTCTTTATTTCTTCTCATTTTCAAAACATATGATGGTGTTCGATCCAACTCGCCACGACTATTTCACCTAAAGAATGGATAGATGAGTTTTTTATGGTACCTACTGGAATATGAACATGGGTCTCAAAAAGGTGCATACTACTGCACTCTGTTTGAGTGCACATTTCTAATCTTTTCACAAATAAGTAACCTGTTTGAAGAAGCATCTTTTGGATGGATGCCTTTTAACATCCAGTCATAGAGGTGGAGAGAAAACAGAGACGAATTTACGTGTAATAAAAGCTTAGAGGTCCAACCTAAATTATACAGACATATAGCAAGCAATTGTCTATAATGTCTTTTGAAACAGATCGTCTAAAGTCCAATGGATCGTGGGATCTAAGCACTCTGAAAGTTAAAGCTACATTTCGACCAGCTATCTGGTTCGAACAAACCTAATTTATCTGTCACCTCCAGACAATTGATGAAGCATCACCTGTGGTCAATCTTCAATCAATTATAGATACGCCAAACTCCAGAAACCGCATCAGAGAAATGTTTACAAACAGAGGATATAGCTGCATAAAAATGCATTCACAGGAGCAGCACCGCGTCATTAGTTCATCCATTAATACACCTAACACTTCCCTCTCTTTATGTGCTCTCATTCACCTGTGAGATTTAAATTTAGACTGGTAGTCCTTTGCCTGGGTATTCAGACCTGGATTTTGAGAAACAACACTACTGCAACCTGGTATGCTGTTATTGCCATTGGGCAAAAAGGTCAAACCTGGATTTTGAGAAACAACACTACTGTGGCCTGGTATGCTATTATGTCCAGTGGGCAAAAAGGTCTGATTTATTGGCGGTTGCTCTTTGACGACGTGCTCCACCGATGGAGCACAGTGGTTTGGAGCATCATTCAAGTAAAAACTGGAAGTGTTGAATAATGGCAGTTCAAAACATCCATCATCGGCCTGCGTGTAGGAAGTATTGTATTCTTGATGGGTAGATCCCTGAAAGGTCAGGGTATCTTCTACTGGTAGTGCACCTGTAAGGGTCTTGAATGCAAACTCCATGCATGGGTCTGACCAATAGTCCCCAAATGGATAAGAAGCTAGTTGCGCATGCAATCTTCTGTTCTGTTCATCTTGATTCTCAGTTACCAGCTCTCCTGTTTGCTTTTCTTTAACAGGCTGGCTATCCACATTAAGATCTAGATTTCTGTGTGATGGTTCAGCTAATTGTGAGGCTTGCCACTGCTGGTTTCCCACATTAAGATCCACACTTCTCTGTGATGGAGGTAGACGTAAATCTTGCCACTCTTGGTTTTCCATATTAAGATCCACGAATCTCTGTGATGGAGCTAGTTGTACATCTTGCCATTGCTGGTTTTCCACATTAAGATCCACACTTCTCCATGATGGTTCAGCTAGTTGTGGATATTGCCATTGCTTGTACTCACCATTTCGTTTTTCACTTACCTCTTCTACAGTAGACCTTTCTGAGACAGACCGGTCCTCTGCAGGGAATACCCTTCTTCCTGATGCTGATTCAGCTAGTTGAGAATTGTTCAATAATCTATTCTGACCGTCTTCTTCTTCTTTTGCCGGCTTGGCTGTAGGCCTTTCGTTAAGCGCATGCTGTTCCAAGTGAACCTTTCCTCTTTCATATGATATTCCAGCTGGCTGAGAATCTCGCCATATTCTCTCATCAATATTCTCTTTAAACGCTTGGCCCTCTGAAAGACACTTCACAACTTCTAAAGGATCATCTCGTGATGAAGCTTTTCTGCTTAGAGAGGGCTGATCAGAATCCCCAGTTGCTAGATCAGTTTGCTGGGCCGATTGCCCACCAGAGACATTCATGGGAAGGCCTGAAGAGGCTGAACTGTTAACCACAGAATGAAGAGCACGTTCACCTAGATTTAAATCAGTCACCATTTCTGGGTTGTGGCGTGAAAGTCTCTTTGAGACACGACGAACTGGAGTAGATGACTTGCTGTTTCTGATTTTTCTCAACCTTGCTGGCACTCCCTTATTACTATGCTTTTCCTTCTCATTTTCTCGTAATTGCTGCTCTGGGAGGAAGTCCAACTGGGGGGAAACAACTAATGACCTTCTAACATCAACAGTTTCAGCAGCTGCAGCTTTTGTGTTTCCAACTGAGTCTCTTATTTTTGGTTCCACATCTAGTCTTATTTCAGTATCTTCATTTAGATTTTCATATGAATGTTTTTCTGTTATATCGGCTACAATAGATGAAATACTGGTGTTGAGGTTGAACATACTGCTTTTAGGATGTTCACTGGAATTCTCAGCTTGCAGTGCCATTGAACAAGTAACAGAACACTTACTACCTGCATCAGCAACTCCCATTTCAGAATGAGAATAACAATCAACTTTTAGAGAATTCAGGAGGACGTATATCAATGACAAGACTAAATTGGAGGAATTGAAATGACTGTCGATACTGAATAATGTTGTATCTCCTACAGTATTGGAGTTTGAGCAAAATTCCCACTAAAATGCATCACCTTTTGATTCATCAGTGGCAGAAAGTTGTATTCCGGTCAAAGAGCACCTTAATTTCTTCGAACTGGTATCATGTGTTGAGGGCTGTCAAAAGAAAGAAGCTTTCAACCATCAGAACTTCCTCCCTTTCAAGATAAATCAATACACTTGTATCGAGAAATTAAAAATGACCTTGCCGAACTCAAATCTTGTCATGAACAGTGAAATGCATTAAGGATTTGTGACAACAGTCCTCTATTGAACCAAATAAGGGCCAATCAAGAATTAAGTGAAGGATTTCCAGATTATTTTGTCAGATAGGAACAGAAAGTAAAGACATGCAGCGAAATGTTAATTTAAAGCAAAACGCCACACATAAAAGATTTTCCTCCTTGTTTAAGAACTCGCAAGGAAAAAAGGGACTTGTAAAATGCTTAAATGGTGGTTGAAATCTCGAAATCATTAAGGTATTGAGTCATTCTTCTAACTTTCCAGCGCATCGTTTTGCAGCTATAGTTTATAAAGAAATTCCACATTTAATGAACTTATAGAAACAGGGATAAAGCTCAGAACTGTGGTCCAGATTTGGGAAGTATAAGGTAAGAGTCATTCCTCTTACCCTTCTATGGCATAGTCTTTACCTGTAGTTTCGTATAAGCTTTTCTTTTTACATATGTAATTAGAATAGAGTGATGTGGAATTATTCTATTTCAACTTGGAGTTATTGCTTTCCAATATATCTTCTCAACGAGTATTCTCTAAATCAGTTGCTCAGTCTCAGACCACTCAAACCCGTGTAAGAAGAGGTGCTTCAACACCTCCAATACGTAAAACAAAGTTTTACACAAGACACCAACTTTACCACTGGTCTTAAAGAAACAAATATATCTTCCTAGTAAAAGGCTCATACAAATACGACCAACAAGATTATTACGCAAGCTGAAAAGCAGTAACATGGATAACAGGAGTTATCGAACATATAGCACAAATAGATTTGATGGGGAACACGGGTGGGAGATCCAGAAGGTGCAGACTTACAGAATTATCCTTCATTGTCGAACCCGGATCCCTTTTGGTAGGCTTCACAGCACAACTTCTGATGTCTCCAGTTTGCAGATAGCGCATAACATCCTTTTTGGAACGAAATACATATCCATGCACTGGATCCGTGTAATACTGCAATGTCCAAGTAAACTTAAAATTCTCACTGCAAAATAAGAATGCAGCATTCCATGTCTGCCACATAAGCAGCTATATGACCCTTCTCCAGAAGCACCCTTTCTCATGCATATATCACATATCTGCATAAGATCGTCTCCAACCAAACACCAAATTTTACACCAAATCCTACTTTGATGTAAAATTTTGTGTTTTAGTGCTCCAACCCGACACCAATTCTTACACTATTTTAGTGTGATAATAGTGCTGCACAAAATTTGGTGCAACACTATTCATCAACACCAAATCTCTTTTTGATTATTTTATTATTATTTGTACTAAAAAAATTGAAAATATGAATTATAATAAAAAATTGAAGAGAGAGAAGATTATAAGGAGTATATTCTTTTTTAGTATAAAATTTAGTGTAGTGGGTTGGAGATGGTTTACACTAAAATAGTATCAACACTATTTGCTATGGGTAGGAGATGCCCTAATGGTGTAAACCAGACTCTTTTTTTTATGAATTAGTATGTGGTAAATAGACTCTACTAGAGTAGGATGATGTGCATGAGAAAAGAAGGGGGAGAGAAGTGCACCGGGAGGAAAGGGAAGACATAAATGCTGAGGAAGAAAGAGAATACCGGGTCCTTTTTTATCACACTAGCATTTTTTCTTATTCTGAATTCTGTTTTCCAGCCTGGTGGTAATCCATCCACTGAAGCTTCTTTGCTCAGAAAAGACTGATAAGAATTGCCAGTTCCTACTGTATGATCTTTTTGCTGGACAAGTAGTTCCTTTTCCCAGCCTGGAGGTATATCATCAAGTGAATTAGAATTGCCAGTTCCTACTGTGGGATGTTTGTTCCTGGTAAGCATTTCCTTTTCCCATCCGGGTGGGAATTCATCTGCTGAAGCTAATTCTCTGATGAGAGAAGCCTGATCAGAATTGCCAGTTCTTATTGCAGGATCTTTGTTGTAGGCAAGTATTTCCTTTTCCCAACCTGGGGGTATTTCATCCAGCGAGGCTTTTTCTCTGCTCAGAGAAGCTTGATCAGAATTGCTAGTCCCTATTATAGGATCTTTGTTCTGGGCAGGTATTTCATACTTCCAACCTGGGGGTATTTGATTCTCCCAACCTGGGGGTATTTCATCTGGTGAAAGTTTTCTGCTCAGAGAAGCCTGATCAGAATTGCCAGTTCCTACAGTAGAATATTTGTTCTGTCCAAGCATTTCCTTTTCCCAGCCTGGTGGTATTTCATCTAGTGAAGCTTTTCTGCTCAGATAAGCCTGATCAGAATTGCCAGATCCTACTGTCGGGTCTTTATAATGGGTAAGTATTTCCTTTTTCAAGCCTGGTGATAATTCATCCCCTGAAGCTCTCAAAGAAGCCTGATCAGAATTGCCAGATCCTACTGTCGGGTCTTTATAATGGGTAAGTATTTCCTTTTTCAAGCCTGGTGATAATTCATCCCCTGAAGCTTTTCTGCTCAGAGAAGCCTGATCAGCATTGCCAGTTCCTACTGTCGGGTCTTTGTTCTGGGAAAGTATTTCCTTTTCCAAGCCTGGTGATAATCCATCTCCTGAAGCTTCTTTGCTCAGAGAAGCCTCATCAGAATTGCCAGTTCCTACGGTCGGATCTTTGTTCTGGGAAATTATTTCCTTTTCCAAGCCTGGCGATAATCCATCCCCTGAAGCTTCTATCTTCAGAGAAGCCTGATCAGAATTGCCAGTTCCTTCTGTCAGATCTTCATTCTGGGTAAGCATTTCCTTTCCCAAGTCTGGTGGAAATTCAAGGCCTGAAGCTTCTCTGCTCAGAGGAGCCTGATCAGAATTGCCAGTTCCTACTGTAGGATCTTTGTTCTGGGAAAATTCCTGACCAGAGACATTCAGGGGGATGCCCAAAGAGGCAGATTTCTTAACAACAGCTCGAAAAGCACGTTCACCTAGATCCAAATCAGCCACCGGTTCTGGGCTGTGGCCCACAAGTCTTTTTGAGATCCGCCGACCAGGTGTGAGTGGTTTCTTAGCTCTGGATCTTCTTGACTGCTCCGGTTTTTCTTTACTAATATGCTTTTCGGGCTCATTTTCTGGTAATTGCTGCTCTGAGGGTAGATCTGACTGAGGGGTTGAGACAGCTGATAACCTTTTGATAGCGTTACTTTCAGCATCTATGACTTTTGTGTCTGCACTTGAGTCTCTTATTTCTGGCTCTGTGTCTAGACTTATTTCAGCATTTTGCTTCACAATAATATCAGCTTCAGATGATGTAATAATAGTGTTTGCATTGGATGCACTGCTTTCAGGCTGTTTCTTGGAACTCTCAGCTTGTACTTTTGGTGAACAAGTAACTGAACGTTTTCGACCTACATCAGCAATCCCAGTTTCAGAATTGAGAAAAAAATGTATATTTAAAAAGTCGATAAGACAAAATCAAGGAGAAGATTAGAATGAAAAATTGAAACGACTGCTGTTGATGGCCCCAACATTTAGTTAAGTATATATCACCTCTAATAGTTAGAATGTTAGGGAATATTAACTAAAGAAGTATCACCTCTGGATTCCTTGGCAGCAAAAGGTTGCCTTTCGGTTACAGAGCACACTAATTTCTTCGAATTGGTGTCAACTGTTGTGGGCTACCAAAAGAGAGAATTTTCAACCGTTAGAGAATTCTCTTGTTCAAAGTAAATCAACATACATTAGCCCTGAGTTCAAAGAATTAGCTTGTCAAAGTTTAAACTCATGACAAACGATGAAACACATAGTTTGTGATTACAGTCCCAATTAAAGGACTAGTCAAAACAATTGTGGAAATTTCAGGGCCATGCCGGAGAACATTAAGTATGCCTATGAATGATGGAGATCTCGGCTTTTTAAGTCCAACATCAAATCCCAGGGCTCAACCTTGGACAGGCAGTGGAAACTGCCAAGCTGGAGTACAGCAGGGGGGAAAGTTGGTAAATCAATCAGGAAAATCTGGAAAATGATCCATGCAAACATTTCTTGGTGTGTTTGTACAGAAAGGAGCCACAGATGTGTTGATGGAATAACAACTCCAAATCACTCCCTTATGGGTAGAAGTCTCATGTTTATTTAATTGGTGAATCTATCTCCTATAGATACCCCTATCTACACCTCTGACCATTTTTATGACTTAAGTTAGCTCCTTATCCTAAAATAGGACTACATGTAACTTATTCAACAAACTCTCTTTTGTAATCAATATATTTGTTGCATTTGCTTGATGCCATTAATGCAACTACTTCATAAAAAAAAAGATTATTCCATTATCATATAGTGTTTTTTTTTTTTTGCTTCAAACATCATTTGGTGTTAAGACATGTACTGAAATGTTAATACAATGAAAAGACATTCAACATAAATTCTTTTCTAATGACAACATCAACTTAAATTCTACACTTGGAATAGTTATATTTGATATGCAAAAGACTTGATATAAAGATTTCCCCATTAAAAAACTTACAAGAGAAATGACAATGTCAATTTCCATTGATGGTGGTTCAGAATTGGGAACCATGAGGTATCTAGCTGTTCCTTTTTAACCTTCTATATCATTATAACTAGAATTTGTAATGATTATATTTCTCATTTAAAAGAACTTACAAGAAAAGATCATTGATAACGTTAACTGATCAAACTGAAAACAGAAGGTGCAGTAACGTAGATAAAAGAACTTATCCAACAAAAAGAACTAACAGAGGGGTGTGTGTGTGTGTTTTGTGGTGGGTGGAACCAGGAATATGATGACTTACAGAACTATCCGTCATTGCAGCATCTAGATCCCTTTTGACAGGTCTTATAGCACAACTACTGATGTCTCCAGTTTGTAAATAGCGGAAAACATCCTTCTTGGAGCGAAATACATAGCCATCCACTGGATCAATGTATAACTGCAATAAAAGAATCAATTTAACATCCGCACTAAAATCTTTTGAATGTAAATCTACTTATGCAGCATTCTTCACATAAGCAGCTCCTACTCCTGCTAACATAACACAGCCTTTCTCAAGTATAACCTGCCACGGCATGATGATGCGAAATAGTCTGCTGGAATAGGATGATGTGCAAGCAAGAAGAGAGAGAGTGTACCGGGTCTTTTCTTATCCCATTAGCTTTTTTAGTAATTTTGATTTCTTTTTTCCAGCCTGGGGGTAAATCATCCAATGAAGGGTCTCCATTCAAAGAAGCCTGATCAGAGTTGCCAGTTTCTGGTGTAGGATCGGAGTCCTGGAGCAATTCCTGGCTGCAGGCATTCACGGAGAGGCTCGCAGATTTATCAGCTACAGCTGGAAGAGCACGTTCACCAAGATCCAAATCAGCCGCCGCTTCTGCATTTTGACCTGCAAGTCTTTTGGAGACCCGACGACCAAGGTTAAGTGACTCTGTTTTTCTGGATTTTTTTGACTGCTGTGTTGCTTTAGAACTATGTTTTTCCTGCTCATTTTCTAGTAGTTGCTTCTCCGAGAGGAGATCCGACTCAGTGGAAACAGCTGATGGCTGTTTAACACCAACACTTACAGTTTCGATTTCAGCATCTCCAACTACATTTTCAAAGGAATGATTCTCATTTATCTCAGCTAAAATGGATGTGATGATGGCATTAGGATCAGACACACTGCAGTCGGGCTGTTTCTTCGAACTCTCAACTTGCTGTGCAGGTGAGCAAGTACCAAAACTTTCCCCACCTACATCAGTAATCCCAGTTTCACAATTGAGAAACAATCACCAACATCTAGAGAGAGAGCAGGTGAACATATTGACAAAGAAAAATAAAATGAAGGGAACTGAAATGACAAGAACAAATGACCAGACGCTGAATAAACGATGCACATCCTCTCAGATAGGGACTACAGAGCAATATTTCCAACTACAGATTATCACCTTTCAATTCGTCAGTGGAAAAAAGCTGTCTTCCTGTCATAGAGCCTCCTACTCTCTTCAAGCTGGCATCATCTGTTGTGGGCTATCAAGAGAAATAAATTTATAAACATGAGAGATCCCTCCCATTAGGGTAAATCAACATCCACTAGTCTTGATAATAAGCAAACTAAGCTCATAAACAACAATTTTTTCAAAAACTATGTCTACTAAGGAACAAGACCAATTACAGTTTTTCATGAAACTAAAATAAGGCTAGTCAAGAACAAGGAGGAAGAATTTCAAGATCGACCAGTTAGACAGAAAGAATATACCCATATCTGCAAAATGTTAATACGGTGAAAAGTCTTTCAACTTTGATTATTTTATTTTTTTGACAATGGTAACAATTATGTAAATAAATCTTCAGCACTAAGGTTGGGTTCCCAAAAATTTACATCACAGAGCTACATACAACTGAATAGGCTCAGCAACTTAAAGAAAGCCCTATCCCAGGTCCTATTTCATCTTACAAGGATCATAGAATGTCTACAATTGCTAGAGGATCATCTATATACTCAGAAACACCAATAGCAAAAAGTGATATTGCAGTTCATTTTAATCTTAAGGACTACTGATACTTCCAAAACATCTTGAATTGCTCTCGTTCTAAATGGTCTACCATATCACTGCTGGGACAACTTTCCATATGTTTTTGTCTGTGCTACCACTCCCTTCATTGTTCTAGCTTACTAGAGCCTAACCTGCCCTTCCTGGTATAGTCCATCTTATGCCTCCGAAACTAATAAACAGGTTCCATAGCTGGCTAACCACTTTACAATGTAAAAAAAGATGGTTGATTATCTCTGCCTTTTGCTCACCAAAAACAAAAAAAAAAAACACCTTGGGCACATTTGGATGCCCTTCTTCCATTCGACTTCGATTTCACACTTGAATGATTAAATTTGATATGCAATACCAGACAGATTCCTCCTCATTCAATGGACTTACAAGGAAAAAGATAATAAATAGCATTTGGATGATGGTTCAGATCTAGAATCATAAGGTATTCTCCCATTCCTTTGCCATCCACCAAACAAGTCACTAGCTAAATTTCTTGCAAGTTATTGAGTTTGTTTGGATTAGCAGATTGTAGATAGTTGATAAGCTTCAAGTGCTGCAAAGTATTTTTAAGTGCTGAAGGAATTTTTTTTAAAACAAACGTATTTGGATAGAAGTGCTGAAAGATAATAAACAGCTAATGTGTTTGGTAAAAAAGTGTTGATAAGATGGTCTTTTTTTAAAATGACTAAAATATCCACAACCTTTTTACAAAAGATCAACAACAACAAACCCATTGTAGTCTCATAAGAAGGGTCTGGGGAGGGTAGAGTATAAGCAGACACTACCCCTACCTCGAGGAGGTAGAGAGGCTGTTTTCTGAAGACCCTCTACCTCAAATATATTTCATATATTAAAATATATATTTTGTAGGGGAAAGGACGAACAACAAAAGACCATCTTATCAAGGTACTTGGTGAATCAGAGAATATATCAAGGATAAAATCATAAAACTTTAGTCAAACCAAAAGTACTTACAAATTGAAAAGCCATAAGTTGGGAATGAGCAACTTACAGTTTTTGGCTAATTTTGGAAGGCTTATAAACACTTTGACTGCTATCTAATGCATAAATAAGCCAAAAGGTGCTTACAAGCCAGTTTAACTATTTTATAAGATTAGCCGAATGCCCTCGTTGTCTACACATCCTTCAATTTGCATAATAAGATGTGAAATTATTCTCTTCAAACTTGGATTTTTCAAGTGCGACTAAAATTTCACAACTTCAACGAGCCTGCCTGCTTTAGAAGGCACTAAATACACTACTCTTACAGGATGGAATGTGTTTTCCTACTAAAGGGTTGAGACTGGTGCATCTCACTGAAGGGCGAAGCAACATTACAAAGATGACCAACAAGGTTCTGTATGCAAGCTGAACACTTAAACGAAAAAGGGCTATAAAACAAGTACAAATAACAGCAGTGATGGGTATACAGGGAGGGGGGATCCAGAAAGATGTGACTTACAGAATCATCCTTTGTAGTTGAAGCTACATTCCTTTTCGTAGGTCTTCTAGCACAGCTAGTAGCATCTCCAGTTTGTAGATATCGGAGAACTTCCTTTTTGGAGTGAAATTTATATCCATGTACTGGATCTGTGTAGAGCTGCAATGACCAAGCCGACATAAAATTCTCAACTTTGAATATATATCTACTGTCACACCATTCCACATCAGTCCCACAAGGAGTCCCCTAACCCTGTTTCCACAGCACCCTTTCTCATGCATGCTAAAATACTGCATAAAGGTGCAAAACAGAACGTAATGTCCCCCTTAAACAGATTATACTTGTATGTACAATATGGGTTGTGCAAAGGTTTACAATCCACTTTAATTTACCCAAATTGTCTGTACTATCTCATTAAAAAAGGGACGTTTATTTTAACCAAAAAAGTTGAAGTCTCTTCTCCCCAACCCCACTCCCCACAATCTTTTCCCAGCTCCCTGCTACTTCAATGGAATTCCTGTTACGGCTTCGATTAGTTTCTAGCCTTTCAATTAGCACATCCAAGATTGACCATGGAAGGGATAACGAACCCATTTTAGCATGAGGTGGTCTTTGGGGAGACGAAATGAGTAAATGAGATGGGTTTCTTTCAATTGGGAAAAGTCTGTTGGAGTTGAAGATGAACAATAAAGACCTTGGTAGACAATATTTCCAAAAAGTTTATCTTTGTTATGAAAAGATGCACATATTCTAAATACGTATGGATTCAAAAAATCCTTTCTAACTTCCCCTTTTCTATTGATGAACGAAATTAAAATTACTCGAACCATAGATCAATTCCCTTTTCATATTGGGAAAATGAAAAATGGTTATGGTGCTAAGTACTACATTCAGGTAGTAGGTTCGCAAATTCCTGTATATACACACACATACATAGATGATAGATAGTAAGAGGGGTGGGGGAGGGGCTGAGGAAAAAAGAGAAATACCAGGTAATTCCTTGTTCCACGATCATTTTTCCTACTTTCTTTTTTCCAGCCAGGGGGTAATTCATCTGCTGAATCACAGTCAACTGCAACCTAAATATTACTACAAAAATTAGCAATCCGTAGTGAATAGAACAGCTATAGATCATATCTATCAGAAGCATCTGAGGTATTACAGAAGAAACACTCTTTGCAGACGGACAGCCACTGCCAGGTTTCTGTCTTTTGGATTGGGGACTTTGTGCCCCATTTTCTTTCGAACCCAGAGATGTTTTCTCATTTAAAATGAAGACCTCTCCAGCACCATGCTGAAACAAGAACATTATTACATGAGAATACTGGCAACATCTCAAGACTACACCAGTTGAATTGCTTTCAACAGCAACTTAGATATTACTAGTGAATTAAAGAATCAATTTTTTTCAGAAGTATCTTAAGTATATTACAGAAGGATAAGTCTTTGTAGTCCTGGTAATGCCAGACTTCTTCCTTTTGGTTGTGCAACTCTGTTCCCCAACTTCTTCAAAATCCTGAGATGCTTTCAGCTTGGAAAATGACCCCTCCTCAATGCCAGGCTGAGAAAAAACATAATAAGACGGGAATAAGTTGCAGTTCTTAAATGCAACACCCAGTGAAATGCTTTCAACTGCCACCTATTTGTTACTAGAGAAATCGGTAACCCATGGTGAACTACATAGCTAACAATCAAATCAGTGAGCAGTGTCTTTTTTTGAGAAGGAAATCTGTAAGCAGTATCATAAGTACATTACAGAAAAAAATAGTCTTTACCGAGGCCTGGTCGGTGTCAGATTTCAGCCTTTTGGATTTGCGAGTCTGACCCCCACCCCTGATAATTTTGGGATCCTCTGATTTTTTCTGATTTGTAGTAGATATTTCACCATCTCCATGCTGACACAAAAACATAATTACACATGAAGATGCTGTAGTAACCCAACAACAACAAAAATACCCAGGGTAGGTAAGAGGTCTGGGCTCAAAAGTCGGATCTGGTGAGGGTGGTGTGTACGCAGACTTCACCCCTACCTTGTGCGGGTAAAGAGATTTTTTCTGATCGACCCTCGGCTTAAGTAAGGCATTTTAAATTCTCTTCTACATGAAATGTGGAAAATATGTAATAACCTAAGGCTACAAAAGCTACCATCAAGTTCTTTTCTGGAACTTGCCTCCTCCATCAAACTTTTACCTACTCAAGTACTCTTTCCTATTAGGAATGTCCAAAAAATGAGTCAGTCTGCCCAAAGCTAGATTTTTATTTCAAACTAGTTACAAATGCATGGTGCAACTCTTTTTAGTACTTTTGTCATTTCCAACAGGCCACTGCCAAAATAAATACAAGCAACTTCCCTTTTCTCTTAAATATATCCTTAGAAACAGATTATTAGAATTACGCAGATCAAGATAACAATAAAGAGATCAAATCTCATCCAAAGTACTTCCGTTTCTTTATTTTGGTTTTGACTGCACCACCTTTAATATGTGGCTCCATATGATCCAAAAAATTAAGGAAAATAATAAACTGATTTTATCATGGTGAGAAAGTTAAAAGGGAGAGACCCTACTGTTTGTCCTTCCCCCGCGATGTTGTTCTGCTTCATAGTTTTGAGATATTTAGATACTTCAGGCTTTGAATAAAATTTGCTTCCAGTTGATGGATCAATGTAAACCTGAAAGAACAACAAAAGAAACAAGGATGTAAACTAGTAAACTAAAGATGAGGTATGATTGGATCATTTTATCAGCAAAGTAGCATCACTCCTGCTCTAAAGCTATGCTTCTTCCAGAGAAGTCGAGAACTAGAACAACTGCTGCTTAGGTGTTGCAGCAAAAAAACTGTTGCACAGAAAAGGGGGACTACAGCCAAGGTACCAGAAGCCCCTAAAGAAGTTTTTTAGGAATACTTGGTTGAAGTTCCTATGACAAAAGAAGTCAAAATTTGTATAATTGAAGTTAAGTCATGAAGCTTCTTCAATTTGAGTTTTCTCTATAGTATTTCCTTATTATCAAACCCTGTAAAAATGCAGCAGATTACTGAATCAGGAGTTGGCTGGATGACTAAACTGGTCTGAGGTTTTGATGCACATACAGGACCAAATTTGATTAAGCTAAAAGACATTATACAGCTATTAACAAAGTTCTAAAATACTACTCCCTTTGTTCCAATTTATGTGACACATCTTTGACTTGGCACAAAGTTAAAGAAAGATATGTAGACTTTTGAAATTTGTGGTACAAAACAAACCTTAGACACTTTTTTCGTGAAAAAAGAATCATTTGTATGTCTATAAATTATCGCATTAAGGGTAAATGGAAAAATTTAAAGTTAAGTTACAAATCATTTCATTAAGGTTAAGAAGAAAATTTTTGAAGTTAAGTGATTTCTAATTATAGAAACATGGGACTGACTTTTATGAAGCTGACAGTGTAGCTTACCCTTCTTTATGTGTGAGGGCTAATGACCATTCACCCCGTTGTTAGCAAATCCTCATGTGTGTTTTTTTAGGATGAAAATCTCGTTTCTTTTTTTTTCCCCTTGACCCTAACAGAGGAACTCCAGTCTGATGTATAAGGAAGGGTAATTTTAACCCTAGTCAAAAGTAGAGAGTGAATTTGAACATTTTCCAAAAGTATATTGGCATGTGGAGTCCACCCAGCCCATGCTGGAGTGTCCTTAAAATCAAGGGCAAAAACAAGACATGTTATTAGTGGTAAAGGTATCAGGTATGAATTGCCCCAAAGTATAACCGAGAGTACAATTAAGATATTTTTTTATGGTAGAGGGGTAAATTTGGACTTCTTCTCTTCTTTTTTTTATAAAAGGAAAATATTTGTAAAAAAAATGAGTAAATGCCAAATTTACCCCTCTATTTGTATGTAAAGGGGTAAATTTGGACCTTTTCTCTATATTATGCACCACTCAACCCCTAGAATCTGCATGCTCATCATTACCTCAACTAACAAATACTATTGGAATTTTGTGTTTGAGACAAACTAACAGAAGGACCAAAACCAGCATATGATCATTTGTATGCAACAGTCTTTGTCATCTACATGGAATTTGAGTGAGCACGGTTATCAGTTTACTTTAAGCATGGAATCATGGAAAAAGACGTGCTGATACAACACCAAAATTGACACAATGCTGATCTTACCAAAGGTCACACTAATGTCAAAATAGAGACGCATATTATAACAAATCATCACCACAAGCATTTCTGAGGTCGGTATATTTCCATTTTCATACCTTGTAAGATAAACCAGCATGTGAACCAGACTTACGAGTCTTCAATTCAACTATCCACCCTGGAGGTAACCATTCATGAGAATTATTTGGTTTCCCAACAGTCTGACAATAACACGAGACAGACCTTAGAAGATAGAATCACATAGCAAAACAGTAGAACGTAAGAGTTGCTTTAGTCACCTTCAATACTCACCTGACTAACATTGTTCTCAGAGCAACAATTATCTTGATTATCCATTTGACTACCATTGTCCTTGGCAAAGCTCCCATCTTGATTATCCATATCACTAACATTGTTCTCAGAGAAGCTCTTACCTTGAATATTCATTGCTTGAGTTACATCATCGCAAGTATCTTTCGTCTTCAAGTACCGAGCTACTTCCTTCTTGGAATAAAACTTTTTCCCAGTCTCCCCATTTGTATAGTACTGAAAAGATAAATGAAAACAATATGTGATACAACCTTTTATAGTGCAGATTCTAATGTTACGGCTCCCCACAAGTGAGATTTCACTGGGAATATTATTGTATTCTAATGTTACACATCACTGCATACATCAACATTAGCCAAGACAAGACGGGAACACAATTACATGAAGTATTCCAAAGAGAAGTTCTTTATGAAACTCATCGAGAAAGAATTCAGGGACTGAGGAAACTTTTAAAGGCAAAGTAGGGGTTTTGTACAACTGCAGGTTCTCTAACCCTTGCGCTTACTGCTACCGTGCTACACCTCTACTCTGACATATAACTTCCTAACCAAACTAAAATGATTCTGGCCTTATAATGACTAGTTGATATGCATATATGAATCCTTTTCTACCATGTTTAAGCTATGTCCACACAGGTCCTGAGACACCATTGCTGTACTCACCTCATAAACTTAGTTTTACGAAAGAACAAAAGAAGTTGAATCCCACTTCGCCCACCTAAAGCTTCAACACTAAAAGCTAGAAAGCGGAAAATTGAATTAAAACTCTGAATTTGCAATACAGAGCAGAACAATACTCAAGTTACACAACATATAAACCATTCAATATCAAGACTCTACATGCAAGTAGTTTGTCAAAGTGATCCCGCACTAAAAAATATTACGAAGCTGATATCCCAAATTTGAACAACCCCATCAAAAAGCACCATAAATCCATCTGGATTTAACTACAGAATCGTCTTATTATCAACTTCAAATCGAAATTCCTTTAACTTACCTCCAAAAATGACTAAACTTTATATCGAATTCAAAGAAATGACAACGAAATTGAGCTGCAGAGCTGTCCCATCATATCAGCCGTTGCTCAAAAACGAATAGTAAAAAACAATAACAACAATATCCGAATTTCCGATGACCCCGTGAAAAATTACCGCAAACACATCTGGATTTATACACAATATCCCCAAAAAAAAACAATAACAGCAACAATATCCTAATTTTTACATATATCTGTTCGTATTTGACCATACAATCGACTAATTACGTACTATAAAGATTCATCAATGTAGAAGAAATGATGAGTAAAATTTAGCTCAATACGTCCAATTTCTACCTTGATTTTTCTTCCTTTTGATACTTTGACATCCTCTGTCCATCCTGGAGGAGGCCAATCCGGCGAATCTTCGACGGCCATCTCGCCGGAATCTGACGATTTCAGGTGAAACGGCACACTTGAACTGACGGATTTTGTCTAGTGTGAGGGTCAATAAGCTCCCGTGATAAGACTATAATATGGAAAGGTTATGTTAGGCAATTACCAGTGGAAAAACACGTGGCAAAAATATATTCTTTAAATTACTTTTAAAAAATTATTTTTATATAAAATCAAAAAAAAAAATCTTCAATACAAATTTTAATTTTTATTTTCATGCTTAATCAAATATTGATATTAATGGAAATTTAAAATTATTTTTGGTATAGGAAAACTTCCATTTCATTTCATTTCATCGACAACAAATATATGAAATTGAAAAAGTAATCATTTATTTATCCCGAATTATTCTTTTTAATTTTTTTGTTTCTTATAATTTTAAGTTTGAGATTTTTTGAAGAAAAAAAATGATTAGATAATTTTATTTCCAAAAATCACTAGCAACCTTTAAATTATGATTTTTCATAAATAGTTTTGTTTAATTTTGTTGGACGTGTTTGTTAAATAAGAAAAGAAAGATGAAAAAAATTATGTTTAGATAATATAAATGAGAAATGTCTTTACTCCTATTTGAAAAATAGTGTTATTATTCACATGATTAAGCTTATTTCCTTCTTAGTTTATAGTAGCTTGTAAAAAAAATAAAATTAATTTACTTTTTTATTATTTTCAAAATACATGTTGGTTTTCGAAAAATTCGAAAACGCAATTTTATGAACTATATAAGACTCACAATTCCAATCACTATAGTTAATGAAATATATATTTTATACATGCTATTTTTTAATAGTCTATTGAATTATGCGTCAATTTATATATTATTGAATGTACAATGAATATTATATAATATTAATAATGTGAAAATCAAGCTAATTAAATGTGAAATTCACGTTTAAAGTATCATCCACCAACTTTGTTAACTAAAACAAAAAAAATCACCAACTTTCTATAAATACGATGATCCCAAAATTAAAACATTAAAGATTCACATTAATCAATTTCCCTATTTAAAATTAAACCATATCAAGAATAACCATTGCTTCTTGCCAAAAAAATTATTAAGTGCACAAATTAATCAGAGAGAAAAGCACCATTAATATCGACTACGGAGGGGAAGAATCGTTATTTAAATTGCATAAGTGTGAGAATCGTAAATTATAAAGATGATAAAAAAAATCTTAATAGATATTCAATTATCTCAATGAAGATTGAATTATTCACGCAAAATTCTTCCTACAATGAAGTTTAACAGCTCACAAAGACGTCTCTCGTCACCAAAATTCAATTTGAAACTTCTTTAAGTACTATTGTATATATACTCTGATGTTGCATTTCTCCTTTTTACTCATCTTTGAGAAGACATGTATGGGCTATAGTTGATAATCTTCGCTCTCATGTGCATCTTAATAAGTTATTTTATGCATAAAGATTATTATGATGTACTTGAAAGTTTAATTGGTTGAATAGTTAAATTTAACAACAAAAACTATTTCGGTATTCATGTTTATTCTTTAAAAATATATTATTTTTAGAGGATTCAACATATACTTGTCTAACATTTTTTAAAAAATTAAAACAACATAAACTAAAAGGTTGTGACAAAAACTAAAAAATGGACAATCAAATAACTCAAATATACATTACTATTTTCAAATTTGTACAATATAATTTTTTTTTTGATCCTTAGTTTTGTGATAAGACAATCTCACCTCACTATCCTTTTGGGTGTAATTGTTATTATTATTGTCGTGAAAAAAAAGAGTAAAAGTTACAGAGCTCAGATACACATTATATCATATTATAAATCAGATGTACCATGACGACCCAATCGTTCACAATTTGTGCAAGTAAATGCCATTGCTCTGAAATGCACCAGTCGGGAATCAAACCCAGGTCTGTACCATGGCAGGGTACTATTCTAGTACTAGACCACTAGTGCTACTTGTTTGAACTTTCTCGTATAATTATATTTTATGTATTTATCATTTTTCAACAATCAATTTCCTAACAACACTATATTGAATGAAATCTCACAAAATGAAACCTATACTATTCGTACTAATTAAACTAGTTTGCATATTTCAATTGTGTAATATTCAATATTTATATTAAAACGAATGCAAGATATATCTTTCATACATATGTTTATCACGACTTACTAAAGTTATTACACAAATATATTCTTTAAATTTACTAAAACAAATAAATTATTTTATGTATAAACCTAAAAAAAATCAACACAAATTTTATTATAATTTTTCTGTCAAATATTGATATTAATGGAAATTTAAAATTATCTAGATATACATTTGCACATAGTTTAAATAGGAAAATATTCATTTCATATCAATAACAAAAGTTGTTGCAAATTAAATTTTGTTGACGGAATCTTCTTACCAATCTTCAAATTATAATTTTTTGTAAATAATTGTTTGTTAAATGGGAAAAGAAAAACGAAATAATGTATGTTTAGATAATACTTCAAATAAGAAAAGTCTTTACTCTCATTTGAAAAAATTGTTATTATTTTGAAGAATTAAATTTTATTTCCCTGTTACATAGTTTGTAAATAATTAAATTAATAAAAAAAATTATGATTTTCAAATACTTGGTTCTCAAAAAATTTAAAAACAATGCTCAAAGTCATAATTTCATGAATTAAGAATCAAATTCCAATAATTATAGTCGTGCATAATATAATGTCATCATTTAATGGCCATAGAAGGAAATAAATAAATATAGTATTAGGTGCGCGATATTTTAAAAATATTTATATTAAGGTATATATGAATTCATATATTATTGTATGTATAATAGACGGTACAATAAATACTATATCGTATTAACTATATAAAAATCAAGTTATTTAAATATAATTTTTCTATTTAAAATATTATCCATCAACTTTGTTATTTAAAATTGAAAAAATCCACTAACATTCAATAAATAAGATGATCCTAAAGTTAAACATAGAAGATTCACATTCAATTTATCAATTTTCCTCTTTGAAATTAAACCATATCAAGAATAATTATTGCTTCTTGCCAAATAAATAAAATAGAATTGATAAAAATTTTAAAAAGTTTATAGACTGTTACATCTATAACAAAAGCAAAATTAATATCGATCACGGAGGGAAAGAATCATTTCTCAAATAATTGTATAAGGAATAAGTATCGTAAATCATAAAGACGATTAAAAATCTTCTTAGTGATAAAATTATTTCAGTAAAAAATGAATTATTCGCGCAAAATTTTTCTTACAATGAGGATGCTAACACCTTATAAAAGTGTCTTTAATCACAAATATTCAATTTAAAACTTATTATATACTCTTTTTTTGCTGATCTTTGAGTGGACATATTTAGCTAGCGTTTGGTCATAGATTTCCAAATATTTTTGGCAAATATTATTTGAGTGAAAATTTGGGTGAAATTTCACCATGTGTTTGGCCATAAAATTTGGGAAATATATTTCACCTTTTTAGAAAAATATGATTTATACACACAAGTTTTAAAAACTATCAAAACTAACTAAAAGTTTGTATTACAAGTCAATTGAATGTTAGTTACAACAATAACAAATAATGTCCATGACACTGAAGCAATGTAATAATTTGGAGTGAGTATAACAAGAATTATTCCATACATCGTGAAGTAGATAAAGTACATGATTTTGTTACTTAAAGCCAATTTTTAATAATTTTCATCAACAATCATATCATTATTTAATATTCACTAAATATTTCATCACTATTTTGGTGTTCACGTAAAAAATGATGTAATACAACGCAAACAAATACTAGAGAGGGTGTTTTTGTAAAAGATAAAAGATTGGGGTAAAATTTTAATTTTTAAAATATCCCAAATAATAATATTTGGCCCAAATACTAAAAAAAACTAGTATTTGAAAATTTGGAATATTTACCAAAAATATTTGCCAAATAATGACAAATTGTATGGACAAACATTATTTGCCAAATTTTTCCCAAATATTATTTGGAAAATTTATGGCCAAACGGGCCCTTAGTTTATAGTTGATAATCTACCAAGCCTTCACTCTCATGTTGATTTTGAGTAAGTTATTTTATACGTAATGATTATTATGATGTACTTAAAAATTATATTGTTTAAATAGTCAAATTTAACAATGAAAGCTATTGTTGTATTCGTGTTAATTCTTTAAAAATATGATATTTTTGAAGAATTCAATATGTACTTGTCTGACATATTTTGAAAAGTTTGAACAACATAATTTGAAAGGTTGTGATAAAAACTGAAAAATGGATAATAACGTACATTGTTATTTTCAAATTTGAGAATAACACAATATACTCTTTTATCGATTCTTAATTTTATGATAGAACAACTTCACTTCACTATCGTTTTAGTACTGAGATGGTTATTATTGTTAGGTAAAAGAAAACACGTGAAAGTTACAGATTTACGGAAATTCAATACTTTTATCCAAAAATTATATATATATTAAAATAAATTTTCACCAAGATAAAAAGGAGCAAAAAAGTAAAGCTCAGATACACATTATCTCATCTTATAAATCAAATGTAAGTGACGACCCAATCGTTCACAATTTGTAAACATCACTGCTCTTGTGCATCAGTGGGGTATCGTAACACTAGTTGTCTTATAGGGACCAGTAAAGGACATCAATTAGCAAAAAACAAAATATTTACATGCATATATAGTCGAAGTGTGTATAATGTATAATCGAAGTGCATATAAACTGTCGAATGACACTGTTAGAAGAAGAAATTCTTTTTGTAGAATCTGATTTTTCATATTACTATAATGTATATATATATATTATAGTTGTAGGTTTATTGTGCCATAAAATTCTAAATTCATTTATATTTTTGCCTCATTTTATCATAACAACAACAAAAAAAGTTGACTTTTTAAAGAAGATTTCAGTATACATTAACTTTGGAGTTGTGGTTGAATTAAATAAATTGGAGTTCAAAACATTATTCACTTTTCTTATTAGTTTTTTTAAAACACATAAAATTTAAACTCTTTTTTTTTTCTACAAACAATCAAATATAATATATGACCACAGATGAGGAAGCAACTCAGTGGGGTGGAAATAAAAACGAAGCAACTCAGGCTGGGATGGAAAAGAAAAACGGAGCGCTTCTAAATATAATCAATCTCCAATATATATTAAATTCAGGTGAAAAACGAAAACGAATAAAAAAAATAGAGCTCAGATGCACATTATCTGCCTTATAAATCAGATGTAGGTGACGACCCAATCGTTCGCAATTTGTGCAAGTAAACATCATTGCTCTGAAATGCACCAGCCGGGAATCGAACCCGGGTCTGTGCCGTGGCAGGTACTATTCTACCACTAGACCACTGGTGCTACTTGTTAATACTTTCTCTATATATTTTTATTTCTTATTGTCTTTATCTTTTTTCAACAATCAGTTTGTCTATTACAACAACATATAAATGAAATTCACGAAGTGAGATTTAGATTACTGTACCAATTAAACTTGTTTACATATATCATATGAATGCAAAATACGTCTTTCATACATATGTTTATCATGACTTAGCTTACGAAAGTTATATTATACCTGATATATATTCTCAATTCAATTTTTGATTATTAAAATAAAATATTGATTTGATATAAGAAAAATCAAATCTAATCTTCAATTTCATTTTTTTCAGCAACTTGAACTCTTTTAGTTTGATTTTTTATTAATATTTAGTACGTAGTACCTACATTAGAGTTTGATTAAACTTAAATTTGCATAAAAAAATTTAATATTTAAGGATAAAATGATGTCTAGATAACTGCTCGAAGGCTCGAACAAAAAATCTCTCAAACCTTAACTTCTATTTTATCTAGTCAGCAAACATGACTTGACTTTTAGTAGCTTACGTGTTAGGTCTATCTTTGAAGAAATATGTATTGTGAATAAAGTCAATAATAATATTGGAACTTTAATTAATTATATAATATACTTTAAACTTCAGTTTCTTGCTTAGCTTGAACATTTTGTGGGAAAGCAAATTGAGATACATTAGTCTCATATTCTATAATTCTTCCATGCCAAATTATATTATGACTAAAGGTGGTAGAAAATGCTTTTCCACATTTTCTTAAAAAACATAAATGAGTTTTTTATAATTATTTATTTGCTAGTATTTGATAAGTGAGTGACTTTTTATATTATTTTATAAAAGCATTTATAACTTAGAATAACGAAATTCGAGAGGTGGAATGGTCGTCAAGGGTTGAGGGGTTGGAAGCATCGGATGGATGAAAATGAGACAATGAATTTGAAATGCCACCGATGAAATTTGGTTAGTTAATTTATTTAATTACTTCTTATATGTTTTCTAGCTTTCAAGAAATTTGTGTTATATATATATATATATATATATATATATATATATATATTGACCAACAGGATATATGAAAAGATTAGAAAACGTTTTTTGAAAAAAAATATTTTTCAGAACACACCCTAAGGCTCGATAAAAATAATAACTTGTTATAATGAATTAGTTTAATTTGATAGGGTCGAAGAAGTCCATTTTGTAGACGCTTGCATGATAATGATATTGTATTATTTAATTTGTGTGTTTCTCATGGAAGACTAAGTACTCTTTGAAGTTACTTATCAAAATACATATTAAACTACTAATCACTTCACATCACAATTAATTAATTGTCCATATTATTGAAGTCGACACCAAATACTTCCAAAAAAAAAGTTGTTTTTTTCTATGCCAAAATAATAAATTATATATATATAGCCTATAGGGAGGGGGATTAACAACTCATCAAGTAACCATGCACTAATACTGTTCTTTTTTTCTTTAATAATAATAATAATATCCTAATTAATTTGTGTACAACTCAACTATTATATTTAATATCTATATAATCTTTTTAATATTTTATAATCATCGCATTCAGTCAATTTATATGTCCTCAGCAATTTCGTACATACATTTTTTTTACAATTCAAATTTAAACTTTAATTTTCATGATTTTACTTATTTTATTGATTCTTAAAATATGGATCGATATCGTTTTCTTATGTCTAGGACACCAAAATATTAAATTACGCAATATTTGTTTACGATCTTTAACTCTTAACGTTTTTTTTTCCTTCTCTTCTTTATAAAAATTAAATATCTATAATTTAATATAATGTGGATTATATTATTTTATAAGTACTCTTTAGTCTTTATATCCATGAGAAAACTAGCTGGTTTTGCCCACCAATATAAAATTGCTTGTACTACTTAAACATTATTAAATTAAGCACTATGCTTTGAATAGAGACTAATAAACAATAATTTGCTACTTAATTTGTCCACGGCCTACCTACTTAATTGTCTATGAGTTGACTTTTTCTTACATCACTTGCAATTTTTTGTTCTAAAAAAATATATTTCACATTTTAAAAAAAAATATTTTTTTAATAAACACTTGGTAATAAGTCGGTGGCTGATCTAAGTATTGATTGGTTAGTAGTTCTATTCAACAACTGGTTTAATTTTTGGTATGTTTTCACACTTTTATCTCACTATACTTTTGTTTGCATAATTTAAATATTTGAAATTTAATGAGCAATGATGTAGCTCTTCAACTACTACTATTCGTAAATCGGTCAATATGTTAAGTTCTCGCTATTTGTGAAGTCAAATTATAAGAATCATTTACAATTTATAAGAATTGTTTAGTTCTCGCTATTTGTGAAGTCAAATTATAAGAATCATTTACAATTTATAAGAAATTGTTTTCAACGCTCAAACGTGAAACCTTCTGATCACATGACAATAACTTTATAAGTTATGTTGATTTTGACGTTTTGTATGCAATTAAAAAACTTAAAAAACAAGAGAAAGAAAGTGGAGAAGATAAAATGTAATTGAATCAATTTAAAGTAATATATCATGATTTTCCTAGTATACGTCTTTGATTTCCATGTACAATACAAAGATTATGGAAAAAAATTGTATAATATCAAACTTAGCTACAAAAAGAACTTGGGAATTTGGTGAAATGTGAAGAAGTCAACATCAATTGATCACAAAAGGGCACCTAAGATTGTGACCTAACAATCAACAAAGTCGATAAACACCTTAAAAGGCTAGCACTCAAATCCCAATAAAGATGAAAAAAAGTTTAATAATTTTCTTTCTTACATGCTAAGTCTCGATGAACAGAGCTATCAATGTTGGAGATGAACGTAAGTTGATCAATTGTGAAGAGGATTTGGTCCTCCGGGAACGATTCGATGAGATACTCTATAACTCTTGTCTATATCTTCATTTCTTGATTTTTTTGGAGATGGTGCTAGGTTATGCCATGAAATTCTTGAATTCAATCTTTGTTCTATGCTTGTTGGAGTGATTTCTTGAATTTTTCTACAATTTGATAATTGACTAACAAAGAGTATAATTACTAATATTAGCAGAAATTTAAAAGAAGGATATTGAATTTTCATGATGATTATATGAAGAAGAAATATTAGGAAAATATGGACAGAGAGGGAAATAATTAGGTTGGTCTAATTTTGAGTTTTTTTTTAGAACTTTTGTTGAATGGTGATAAGTCTTTATATTAATATGTGTCTTAATTTAAAGAACTTGTGGTGCAGATAAGAACCAGAAAAAACTAATATTGTCTAGTTTAAAATGACATATATACCCTCATAATATTTCCTTTTTTTTTATGATTCTCAAGTAGTTTATGGGAAGTTTCTTTTTGTTTTACCATATGATATTCGAAGTCAACTTACTCGACTAATTAGATTTCACGTTGTACAGATCAACTAAAAGGTACATCTCACATATTTAGAACATATGAGAAAAATTGAAACTTTAAACAAGATATAGTTGATTTTTAGAATAATAATGAAATAAAATTTTTTAATACTTATCAAAAACGTTTTTGACAATTATTTTCATTGAAAATTTCATATTTCTAATAGAAACGTCCATAAAAAATTTATATATTAATTTTAGTATTGGTAGAAAAGATTAAAAAGGGTAAAATAGTCATTTATGAAAGATGGGAATAGCAGTGTGAATAAAAAAGATGTTGCTTGGAGGTTATGAAGAGCTGACAAGAATTTGGTGGGTTTGTGTAGACATTTATTTGGTAAAAACAAACTCTTTCGGTTCCATATTCGTATTAGAGTTTGATTATTTTAAATTTTAAGTTATATATAGTTTTATTAAAAAAAAATTAAAATTTTTTCATGCAAAGCTGAAATCTTAAACCTCTAACTAAAAGAGGAGCAACCCAATATCTTTTTTAACATTTATATTTATATTTATATAAATAATTAAACACCTGATACGAATAAATTTTATCGTCGTGTTAATATTAATTGTTTGGTTGGACTTTAACGAGAGTTTTTTCAGGAGCCCATCCTTATAGGCACGTGGTGCAAGTGCAAACCCAGCAACTGTCTCATGTTCTTGCCGTTCTTTTGTTTGTTTATTTTTAATTGTCTATTTTATACGTTTTTTAAAAGTAATTTGATGTTAAATTTAAATATGAAAAAAAAAATTAAAACAAGTAAATGAAGAAATAAAATAATATTATGAACAATCA